TGACCGTTATCAGGTTTTTTTTGGACATCTTCAGTCAAGAGAGGGTTACGTGTTGGTTTTCTTCCTATATTGTTTTATGTGAATTGTTATGTAGGAATTATCTAGGAACTACAAGATATCTGAGTTGATTTTAGGAACTCTGTGGGTTTGTAGTTTTTTCATGTTGTAACATTCAAGAGGGTATTTTTGTTACCATTAATAGTTAATAAGCAATGGTGACCATTTGTGTGAAAGCCAGTGATTTCAATGAAAAGAGCCAAAACCACTTTTCTGTTCAGATTCAGATGTCCTACACCTGTTTTACTTTCCAAACCATCAGTACACACATTGATTATGTGAAAATTGTTGCCTGTTTGCTATTTGTAATCCCCTGGTATTTCTGTCATCTAAAGTTCTGTGTTTTGGAAAGAGGGGATTTCTTATTATGCTATCTAAATTCATTGAACAATAGTACTCTCTCTAAACAGATTGGTCAGGAGCAGATTGAGGCATTGTATCAGTATGCCAAATTCCAGTTTGAATGTGGAAACTACTCTGGTGCTGCTGACTATCTGTATCAGTACAGGGGCTTATGCAACAACAGTGAAAGGAGTATGAGTGCTTTGTGGGGAAAGATGGCAGCTGAAATACTGATGCAAAACTGGGATATTGCTCTTGAAGAACTTAACCGGTTGAAAGAAATTATTGACTCAAAGGTTGTTTTCCACCACTCCTTGCTTTTCTGTTTGAGTTGCATGCTTTCTTTTTCCTTTTATTTTTCAAGTAAGATGTGCTTATTGAGGATGCTTGTCTATTGCAGAGCTTCTCATCGCCTTTGAATCAGGTGCAAAGTAGAATATGGTTGATGCATTGGAGTCTCTTCATCTTTTTCAACAATGACAATGGAAGAACACAGATTATTGACTTGTTTAACCAGGACAAGTATGACTTAACCCCTTTTGCTCTGCATGCATTTTCAACTATGACATGTTTTCTATTTTTGCTCTGACTGAAAAAATGACTTGTGGGTATTACTCAATTGAAATGTATTCTTATTCCATAAAAATATAAGGAACCAAGAGTTAACCAACATCTCTTTATTGGTTTTTTTTCGCTTGGACATGATTAATCTCTCAATTTAATTAACGATCTTTTGCACCTTCTTAAGACAAAGGCTGACAGGATGATGAAAATTGATCTTCTCATTTTATTTTAGGTATCTCAATGCCATTCAAACCAATGCACCCCATCTTCTGCGTTACCTAGCAACTGCATTCATTGTCAACAAAAGAAGAAGACCTCAATTCAAGGATTTTATAAAGGTTATCCAGCAAGAGCAGCACTCTTACAAAGATCCTATCACAGAGTTTTTGGCATGTGTCTATGTTAATTATGATTTTGATGAGGCACAAAAGAAGATGAAGGAGTGCGAAGAAGTAAGCTTTTTATGCCCTAATGTGATTGGCATGTTAATATCCCTGTACAAGAAAGTTTGTGCTGATTGTGTCATTTAAGTTGTATTGATTTCCAATTTTCTGGATGCCCCCCTCTTCCCCCCCCTTTTTTTTTCCTTTTGTCTTTCTTGGTTTTGCATATTATGTTCACTGATAATAAATTTTCCCTCTGATCGTTAACTCCTGGATAATGCTAACGTGTTATACCTACTATAGGTGATACTAAATGATCCTTTCCTTGGCAAACGTCTAGAAGATGGCAACTTTTCCATTGTGCTGTTGAGAGAGGAGTTCCTTGAAAATGCCCGTCTATTTATCTTTGAAACCTATTGCCGGATACATCAGCGTATTGACATAGGGTATGTATATTCATTATTTTTAATTGTTTGCTTCAAATGTCACAAATAGAGTTGATTGGAAATCTATCCCTTGAAAAACCATTCCTTTTTGAGTGGAGGGCCTAAACCGTTAGTTTGCTCTCATTGAATGTCTGTCGGTCCAAACACTTTGCAGTGTTGACTTTGATGTACTTTTTATTGCTTCTGTTAAAATACTTATTCGAATTACTTGGCTGTTCACGACAGAGTCCTTGCAGAGAAATTGAACTTGAATTTTGAGGAGGCTGAGAGATGGATTGTGAATCTCATCCGTAACTCCAAGCTTGATGCTAAGATTGATTCAGAGTCAGGAACTGTTATTATGGAGCCCAACCATCCCAATGTGTAAGATTGCAGATACAGATTATTATATTTGTACACGGGAATGCATATGATTCTTGTTACCTATTAATCTTTTGGTCTTTTTATCCTGTGTACCGCCCATAATCTTTATATGTCAGTTCCCAGGGGTCTCAACTTTTCTTCGAAAATTGGGTGACAAATTTCTTGTCTTTCAGGTATGAGCAATTGATAGATCACACCAAGGCATTATCAGGCCGTACTTCCAAGTCAGTCAGTCAGATTCTGGAGCATGCACATGCTCATGCACAGGCTGCTCGATAGAGTTTCTCTGTAAAGACTCGGGGGACTTATTTGTTTTAAGAGTTTTGGCATCTGAATTTTGTTTCTCTTTGGTTCGAGGAACAGACAAATTCGAGAAATTGTACTGATTAACCTTTCCCAGAAGCTCCAGAATTAGAGCAAATCTAGTAAAGTTATTAATTTTGAAAGGAGAGTTTATGTTTTGCTTGTTTGTATCAATGAAAAATCAATGCATCCTATTTTCAGCTTCACATCGGTAATTTATTTGATTGTGTATTTACCTTAAATAAATGAGCTCTCGAATCATATTAGGACCAATGCACTGATTGAGATGGTGTTTGCATCAATAATCTTGTACGATTTTATTTTCGATACAGAAGCTGTTAGAACTGGTTGGAGAAATGCAGGTGTGACAGTGTCCTGAAAGAGCCGTCGAGGCACTGTTATCTCAACGGATTTTTTCGCTAGAGCTTAGGCCTGTTAAAAAAACCGATTAACGAGAAACTGAACTGGGAAAAAAAATTGATGCAACCAATTAATAAAAAATCACAATTTTTTTGTCTGGTTCGGATATGATTTTAAAAGTCAAACTGATGCTCAGTTTGAACCCTAAACACACCGAGCATAAATGGTTATATTTCTCCGAACCCTTCTCTCAAAGTCTCGCAGCCCTCCCCGTTCCTCTCTCCCCTCTTCTCTCTATCTTTGGCCTCTTATTTTGGTGCGGTTGGAGATGGAAAAACGTTGAATACTTTTAGATTTCATTTACTTTTTTCACCATTCCTGACTCCCCATGGTGTTTGCTTGCTTGTTTGGTGTGTGACTGTGTGTAGACAAATGCATCACAAACGTGTGAGGACTTTGTGAGCTCCCACCATGACTGACTGACCTTCTACTTTCCTTACTCCATGGTTCACGCATAGCCCCTTGCTTTTCTTTTATTATATTCCCATTATCATTTCCTATTCTGTAGATGTTTCCACACCAAAGCTTTTGAAAAGAGAAATTAACATCGTTCATTCATGCATTTTTGACTAAATTTTCCATTTGCTTTTTGGTGTGGTCTCACACTCCCACTGAGATGTTCTCTTTTACTCGTTTGGTGAAAAGTACCAAAAGTAGTTTCTGTATAAATTTTATTAGTGAACGAGAAATATAAAATTGAGTTTAGTATGTAGAAAAGTGTTTTTTTTTTATTTTTTTTTTGAAATTTTTTATTTATTAAATTTTGTCTTTTTTTTTTTTTTTAATTATTTTTACTGGAAAATATTTTTTAAAAAATTATAAAAATTTTAGAAATATTATGTTATTTGTTGAGTATAATAAATTTAATTTTTAAAATTTTAATTGCTATATATTTTTCTTTGAATCATTTTTTTATTTTATCTGATTTTTATATTAACTTTGTTTTTTTATTTTTTTATTGAAATTTTTTATTTATTAAATTTGGTCTTTATTTTTTTGATTATTAATTATTTATTTAAAATAATTTATAAAATTTTAATTATTATTATTTTAGTTTCATCATTTTTTAATTTTTTTATTTGTTAGATTTGAACTATATTATTTTGATTGTTATTTATTTTATTTAAGATAATTTATGAAATTAATTTTTTTTCAATTTCATTCACATTTAATCTTTTAATTTATAAGATTTATTTTTTTTATTATTCTAATAAACTCAAAAAAAATATTAATAAGTTATTTTTCAACTTATTTTTCATAATATAACCAAATAATGAAAAATATTTTTCAACTTATTTTTATAACACTACCAAATATTAAAAAATAATTTACTTTCCAGAAATCTATTTTTCTAAAGAACTAATTTTCAGGCCTAATATTTATATTTATTTATTTATTTTTTTATTTTTAAAAAGTGAATTTCCTTTAATTAAAAAGGTTTTTTAGCTATTTTTTTTTTGTTTTAAAAAAATATTAGTAATCATGTTTATTTGTCACTACTGATGACATTCACCTTACATTTTACAGACCTGTTTGAGATTATAATAATAATTACAGTTAAAAATATTTTTTATTTAAAAATATATTAAAATAATATATATTTTTAATTTTTTAAAATTTAGAACATCAAAATATTCTAAAAACATTTAAAAAATAATTTTTAATAAAAAATTTTTAATTTAAAAAATTATAATTTCAACTGCATTTCCAACCTGCTTGAAATTGTGATAAATTTTCGATCAATTTAAGATTGTCATGCTAGTGAAAATTCAAAATAATTTTTACTTGAAACACGGTGCCGTGTTTCCAAACACAGTATCAACGGTGAAGAGCGTATCAGCCAGTATAGCTATCCTATCATCTCCTAGTTCTGATCGGCTCACTCTCTTTCCAGGCTTGGTCTCGATTGAAAACGGGGATCTTAGTTTTATGCACTACCACTCAAAACTTTTACACATTTGTTTTTTCTTTAATATATAACTTGCAAAGTTTTCTGTGGTGAAAAACTTTCCACCACAAACCAGGCAGGTGCTAGGCCAGGAGGTTACAAGAACGAAACAACCTGCATTTTTGTTTTTAGATAATGGCCCTGTGGTATTTGTGGAAAACAAACAATTAGAAGTAAATCTTCTCTGTTTTCTCTATGGGGGTTGAAAAAAAAAAAACAAACCCCTACTCTTTCTTTGTCCAAAGTTCCTCTTGGCTCAAGACACGATGGCAGAGCCAGGTATAAAGTATGATTGCAAACAATGCCCTTCATGGTCCAGTATCCTTCTCCAACCGAATGTTCCCTTTAACCCTCCGTAAGAACTGGACATTTCTTAGATTGAAATCTGCCTACTCTACGAAGACATCCATTTTTAGACCAATGCCAATCAGTCTGGATCCATTATCAGGCTGTTGGTTGCTAGACCAGATCAATGGTTACTCTGTCCTGAAGATCCATCTTGAACTTTGTTCCGTAAAAGCTGACCTGACCTTGATCTGAAAAAAGCAATTTGCATATAAATCCTGGGACATAGGATATTTCTCCTACCAGCGTGAACGTGAATAACCATCAGTCTTCCAATAACCATAAGTCTTCCAATTATCCTGCCAATTTCGCCGGTACTCATTTTTCTCATTTGAATTGCCACGTGTGTATGATGTTCTTCCATGAGGACTGCTTCCATTGCTCTCCTTTGATGCTCTTCTAATTTGCTCGTCAAGATCATATTCCGAACGCTGACAATTCAAAACAATGCATCAAAATGAGGCACTGGTTGCTAATCAAAAAATGCAAACAGAATAAGAGAACATGTTCTTGCTTGAGAGCCAACTAGAATTTCTAGATAAAATCTCAAACCTCATTCAACAATGTGCTCTAGTCCTTGTTTAAGGTCGATAGGTTACAAGTTGAATTTTAACTTGGGCACAAAAACTAGTTCACTAGTCAGACAAACAGATAACATACGATTTCAGTCATGCTCCTAGTAGTTAACAACCTTAACTAAAAGCAGGATGCAGAAAACAGATATGGAATAACACAATCCTGTAATTGAGAAGTCATGTCTGTCCAAGTTATATGGGATCAAGGATGAACAGCTTACTATTTTCTTCACACAAGTAATTTATAACAGCAAGTTAAACACCTTCCATAGTAGTAATACAGTGGACTGAAACAGAAAAGGAAAGAAATAAAGAAAACAAATAGATTACAATTAGCATATAACATATTCCCTTCTAGTTCACAAGGTCATTAATAATGAAAAGGAAAAACAAAGAAAATTTAGAAAAACTCAAAAGGTTTCAATACTGTTCAATTACCATGAATGGAATGCTTGAATAAGAACCAAGGGACTCGAATAGATAACGAATTATTTGGAAAACAAAACATACCTTGGTACTATATTTGAAATATAACAGGGAAACAGACTAATGCTGAGAAACAATATAAAATACAGAATGAAACACGAATTACACTACAGACAGACAAGACAAAATACCATTTAGGATGCTAGATAGGCTACAAGACAAAATACAGATCACGTTAAATAACAAACCATTACAAGAAGAAATACAAATTACAATGATAAACAAACCACTACAGGAAAAACAACCAATTACAAGATAGAATCTTTGACCATCTTTATGTGTCTGGAGCAAATGAGTCAAGAATTATAATGCAGCACATGTTTATCACAGTGATGGTGTTGCAGCAATTGTCATGCCCATGTTATAGTTGGTGGTAGAATTGATCATGCCATAATGGTTATCACGGATGGCAGCAACAATGGCAGAGGTAATATTGATGTTTATAATAGAGGGAGCAACATTGATGGTCATGATGATGATAGTGCTTCCATGGTAGAAGAGGTGGCGGGTGGCGGCTGTTATATGTAGAAGAGGTGGTGATGGCAATAGCAAACATGATGAAGGTGGTAATGGAAAAATGTTGCCAGCATTGATGGCAATGAGTGGCGGTTGCAACTGTGATAATTGTGACATTGGCAATGATTTTTTAGTTTTTCTACACCAACCAAAATCCAAGTATACATCACACGTGTGCATTCATACATGCAAATTATAAACAATCCATTTCCAATTTTGATTAACTGCTGCTAATCAAAGGATGCCTTCATTCATAGTAATCAAGGTGACCAACAATAGCAGCCACACAGACAAGGTTGCTTAAAGATGTAAAAGACTAGCCACACAATTTAAAGGTGAAACACACCTGATGAGATAGGAATTGATGACAGTACAGGTATCTGAATGAAGAAAGCTCAAAATCTAGAATACAGCCACCTATTAGACCTATTGAAATCAAGTGGATAACAAACCTTAGTGGGGTCAGAGAGTACTGCGTATGCTTCTCCAATCATCTTAAATAGCCTGTCAGCATCTGCGTGAACCTCCTGGACAATTTCTTTCCAGAGCTGCCCATCATCTCCACTTTCACTTCTTGCCAGGAACTGACCAGCCTACAATTGGGGAAAAAAACATACAAGAGAAACCAGTAAGATTTGGAAACATGATCAGCAGTAATAAATATGCAGGGGTGGAAAGCTAGAAACCTTGTCCGGGTGATGTTTAAGTGCTGCTTTATGGTATGCCTTTTTTATATCAGATGCTGTCTCGGAATCCTTGACTCCCCTAACAAAGAAATTATATATAGTTGATAAATTATGAAAGTATAAAATGCCGGCATGCTGCATTTAATTATGACCAGAAAATTGCCTTGATTGTTTTAGATACAAATATCACCATGTTAGCCCAAAGATGCGGGAACAGTAACAGATTAAATACAATTAAAAAAAGCAGAGCCTCTTTTCTTTCCAGTAAAAGAATGATTTGTAACTGGGCAGATTCGAGGTATTTTACAATTCTTAAAAAAGAAAGAAAGAAAAAGGGCACAACACATTCTTAATTAAAGAGCTTTGCCAATTTTCAAATTCTCATTATATACGCGCTTATGTATATATTGAGAATTTGAAACTTGGTAAAGCATATACCATGATAGAATTAAATTTTATGCTCAGAAAGGCTCAGCTTTAAAAACCTTGACAAAGAAAATAATGATTATAGCGCAACAAATCTGGCAACAATACCACTATGATTCTAGAAGCACCACAGATATCTGGTTTAGAGAAAACAATAGCATCTAAACATTACAAACATGATGTTGTTCCAGTGAAAGCATAATGCGTTGAAGGTTCCAAAATGACTTACAAAATACAATAAAAATCCAAACGGATTCCTTTCTTAGCCTCTTCTTCCATTAAGGACAAACGCTGACGAGCTTGCCTTAATTCTTTTGTCCAACTGGTGGATCTAGCAGGTTTGCTGGACTGTCTGACTTTTCCATCGGATTGATTTTCAAGAATAGAAATAAGCCTATAAAGGTCACTAGCTGCCTGTCCATAGTCTCTAATCCTCTCATGCAAAGCAGCTCTTCTGGCAACTGCCTGCACCAGTTCCAATTGAGCAATTAATAGTGGGTCAATCAGGCAACCATGTAAACAGTTGTTAAAATTTGATGTCTATATCTCACACACCTTTTATGTAAATTAAGCAGAATTCTTCCCTCTTACAGAGCAAATTGGCAGGCAAAATATGTGCATGTTCATCAAAGGATGCAATTCATAGCATGTATTTGTGTTATTTAATAATGTTAAAGGAAACATTTAATTCTTCCTTGATGAGCTCCATATCAAATTACCAACTAACTGGTGGCAAGACATATTTTAGAGATAAACCTTTGAGTAATTTCCATCAAGTGCCACAGCTAGGCTGCAATCAGAAATGGCATCAGCAATCTGCCCCAGTGCTTGGTGTGCAGCAGCACGGTTTCCAAAACAAATTGCTGCAAAAGGGCGGGATTCAATACTGTTTAACAAAGCACCAGTATAATGTTCTACTGCTTCGGTGTACCGTGCTGATCGAACTGCTTCATTTCCTGCACTCTGTAATTGACAAGAATGCTAAATTAGTTCAGCTGGAAGAATTTCATGAAAAGACAAGAGTAAGACCGTGGAATATGTAATCTACCATAAGACTGCCAGAGGAAACCCAGAACCGAATCAAACACCAAACACAAATCACTTAATCTATTTTCATAGACAATCATTAACAATTGGAATGTCCATTCCAGCCCTAGTTTTCTATGGGTATTAATTATATCATATAATGATAACACATATAGCAGATTTTCCAAACACAAACTCAATAAATGAAATCAGTTGACCAAATCTACATTGTTAAAAGTCCTTCAGAATAGGAAATCCAATCAAACCAACCCCGAGCATCAACAATACCAAAAGCTACCTGATTATTATTTCCACTGGATTATTTTTTTTCATCATCTGCAATTTTTAAATGTCTATACATTGTTAAAAAATGAGCATGGAGAAAACAGTTATAACATTAGTGGTCATTTGCTTAAAACGGGCACAGATTAAGATGACATGGTGATATGAATCATAAGATTATGTACAACGTTATATGCACATAGTACATTAGGGTATATAGATTTTAGATTTTTATCAAAAGTTTCACTAGTTGACATGTTGACCACGATGTTGTCAACATCAACAAACAAAAAGACATAAATACCATGCAGCACCCTTATTACCCGGTATTCTAACCCATCTAAAACATTGAGGATGACTTTCATGTTATAGAAACCATCACGCATCATATATCATTTTGAAACCTAAGAACAGAGGTGAACTTAAAGCAATCAACAGCATACCTTATGATGTAAAAGATCACGTATGGTGACAGCTAATGTAACAGATGATTCCAATATCTTCCTTGCATCTGCTTTCCTGCATAGTTCAAATTATTATCATGGACCTCAAAGTTATTTTGAGAAAGAAATATCAACTAAAATTGGATCTGAATTGATGATATGATGTGTTTACTTGCAACTGATGGATCCCATTTGCTCTAATTTCTGAAGTAAATCAAGAGCCACCTCAAGCTTTCCCAAATAAAAGTAGGACTTTGAAATTAAGTGCCATCTCCACACCCTTGCGAATGAGCAATTTTCACTTTCAGAACAGCCAATATCTACAAACTGCCCATCCACACCTATTGAAACAAAATTCTTTTCAGCAGCACTAAGAGTCTGCTCACACATCTGAATTACCTCTTTATACTTGCGCAACTACAAAATGCCACCAAAACAGCCTATGATTAGAAAAGACCTAGAGGCAAACAAATGAAATACTCTTATGGGCAGAAATTTATCAACTGGCATTCTTCAATATTTGAAATTATTTAGTCACTTGAACAAGAGCAAAAAAAATAAAATAAAATAAAATGTTGAAAGAGCACAGACCATAAACAGAAACTTCGCTTTCATTTCCAGTAGTCTTTCTGAGTAGGGGCTAATAGATAAGGCCTCGGCAATCACATCTAGAGCATTAAGTGCTGCATCATATGTTCTCTCTTCCAAATGTTTTGCAGAATGGTTTATGCACTCTACCACTTTCTGGAAGAAAGGAAAACCACTCGATCAGTCATGGAATTAATCTCTTGCAAATGCACACATGGATAGCAGGAAAGGAAGAGGAAGGAAGATCCAAAAGACAAATAACTCCAACCATCCATGTCACAGTGACAGGATGATTTAATCATTAAGAAGCAATTTATGATAGCCCACCCAAAATGTGAAATCAATGAAAAATGAGCGCCTATTTTTGTGTCCCAACTACACATTTTGTAATCAAAACAAATTTCTTTCTAGATTTTACAGGCCAATTTAACAATGCAACACTTATAAAGATATGATTTATACCGCCTGTAGGATGTAATGTTTGTTGAATTGTAATCTGCCAGAAAAGGAAACCTAGTTCTATCCTATTTAGCCTTGAGAACTGCATTATTTTGCTTAACTAGGAGCTGCTGCTCGAAAAAGTAATGTGCTTAAGGAAAAAAGGTACGAGATATTCCAAAGTGGAAAAGTAACCTTTATCCTCTATATCTCTTCTTTTATTTGAACTTTTTTCACCGCTACTATTTTAGAAGTAAGACCGATATAAAACAAATGAAAAGCATCATATATCTACTACCATAAGATGGCCAGATCAGCACCACTTAAGCTAATAAATGCATACCTGAGCTTTCTGTACGCCATCAGCAGCTTCTATTGTGATTCTTCGATCCAAACACACACCAGCTCTAGATTCCAAGCACTTATTAAAATAGTGAAGTGCATCCTCAACTTGTCCCAGCTGAAGATGACAACTGGAGAGGGAAAAAAAATCCCCACATGTTTACAGCATGCAACACACCATTTTCAAACAGATGCTATATTCAGCAAGAAGCAAATGGGGATAATGCAGTAAGGTCAATCAAAAGAAGACTAACTGACAAAGCATTTATTAGCTATTCTTAATCAGTGTAAATGGTCAAAAGGGACCACTCATGGTGGACATACAGAATATGGGGATTTAAAACAAAAACAAATTCACACATATTTAGAATATAGAGGACACCATTTAGCATAGAGAATATAGGTATCAACATATAGGTATCATATACAATCTACATATGAATCACAACCAAACAACTCCTATCCTTCAGATGAAGTCAGCATATAAGAAATGACAATTCAAAGAGAGCCATTCTCAGGTGCGATGCAAAGGAAACAAACCATTTGAAAGAGATAAGATGTAAATTTTGCTTCATGCACCCCATGCAAAGGACTTACTTAGCAGCTCTTATTTTAACTTTGAAAAAGTTGGGGTCTAGGTCAGCAGCCTTTATGCAATCTCTTATCGCCTCCCTCATGTTTCCAAGAGACATCCGCGTTGCAGCACGGTTGCTATAGCAAATAGCAAGAGGCTTAAGACAGCATCCTGAAATATCACTAGAAGGAATGGAATTTATCCCACATGTATAAAAATCCTCTGCCTTCGACATATCCCCATTTTGATAAGCATGATTTCCCCTGGAAAAAACCAAACCCTATCCAACTTTAGTATCAAATGCACAGTCTCAAAAGTAATATATACTAATATTCAGCAGTAAACAATGTGGGAGCTATTTAGCCATTAATAGATTTTATGTAGAAAGCACCTTGCTCGCCACATCTCACATTCTTCCTGAACAGAGCCAGTGGATGAGATTGAACCTTGCTTCGCCAATTCATTTATTTCAGATTTATTCCCCACCTTTTTCTGTCGAGTAGATAAATCTTCTCCTTGACCCTGCACAGTGTCAAAAGCTATATATACAGAAGTGCGGGCATGGATTGAATTTGGAAAGAATAATAATTGACTTTACTTACATTTGGGTTTGGGACAAAAATAAATGGTTCGCATGGAGGTTTCCTCCTATATTTCTTTCTATACAGCCGTTTTGGTGTTGATGAGCAGGATGAAGCAGAGAAGGAAAATTTTCTCGCATCTACATCTTCCAAACCTGAAGCAAAGGAAAATTGCATTTGATGGCTGCTTTCTGTCTTTAAACCATGCGTAACTTCAGCGGAAGCTGCACCATCATTGCTGCTACTCACCTGCTCATAGTTGAAACCAGGGCAGGACATTTCAGCACCAAAAACAAACCCTTTAGAGATACAATCACCCATGAAACATCTTTCAGAACCACAACCAAAACTCTCCTGATTCATCTTCTCTCTTGGCCTCCCATCATCTTTCTTAACATCTAATGCTTCAACCTCTCTGAGACCAGTTGTCGCTGTTGAAAGGAACATTGCGGGTGCACAATCATTTTCTTGGGGGTTGGAATCATTTAATGTCACAGAAGTTTCTTCAGAAAATTTCCCAGCAGCTGCAATTTCCTGATAAGGAGAAAAATCCATGGGTGAGTAGCATCCGGAAGAACTTAGATTTTCTTGGCCGCACCTTTCATTTTGCACATGAACTTGCTCTGGGAGTTGCTTACGTAAAGAATCTTGCTTCAACTTTACCCTCATTTCTAATCTTTTTCCCTTCTTTGATCGGTTATTTACAGTAAATTCTGGTTTCTTATTTGATTCTGGAAATACACTTGTTTTTAAACAAAAAGGATCACATGGTGTTTTGAAGTCTGTAAAGGACATCCCTAATCCACCCAGATCACTTGTAGAACTACTTTTGTTATTTTCCCTTTCAACTCCAGCCATAGTTGTTGCTTCAGAAACTTCACTATGTACTTGGGAATCAAAACCAGCCAATGAGAATGAAGTTAGAGGAGCAGCTCCATTGAGTTTTGTATCATCATTCATTCGATCTTCAGGTAATTGGCCCTCAAGATAAGTCTTCACACATCCTGCCTGAAACCTAAATAATTCTGAACTCGAAGTTCTGATAGAAGTACTACCGGTATTGCAACTACTATTCTTGTCACTGGATTCAAATTTATCACCACCCGAACCCACAGCAGCATTCTGTTCACGAGAACAAGTATCTGAATTTCCATTAGAAGAGGCAGAAGCCTTTTTACTGCTTCTGATAACAAATAAAGAATCATCCTTTGCAGATGAATTCTCATTGTCGGCTCCATGAACATTCTTGAACTCATTAATATTTAGTTTCTTAATCTCTTCTGGAAGATTAAATATTGGGTTAATGCTAGATGTCCTAGCTGCATTACTACTATTTGGAAATGGTGCAAACTGACCCTTACCATTGACACTAGAATCCAGATTACCATTTTGATCCTTTGAAATGTTGTAGTTTAAAAAAGTTCCGCCACTTGACTTGACCTCAACAGGGAAGTTCGTAACCGCACATTCATTAAGATTGCAACTTTTCTTGCTGCTACTACCAAACACAGAAACGCCATTACTATTACCTTCCACTTCATGAAGCTCGGCCTCATTCTTGAATTTAATCTTCCCTGTATCAGAAAAGACTGAATTTCCAGAACTTTCACCAGATTCTCGTTTTCCCTCGTTGGAATTTAACTTCTTATCAAACCAACTTGCACCAAACACAAACCCTGAACCAGAAACCCCCACATTTGCACTAGAATCATTAGTATCAGCACTGAATACAAAACTAGAACCAGAAACGTCTACATTTGCAATGGAATCATCAGCATTAGCACGAAATACAAAACTAGAAGCAGAAGCCCCCACATTTGAACTGAAAGCCTCACGAGCAGCACCAAACACAAAACCAACATCATCAGAACCCAACTTCACCCCATTCCCACTAGAATCTCCCTTATTGGAATTCAAACTTGATCTTAATTCACTTTTGTCATCGCAAAACTCACCGTCACCCGCATTACTGACCTTTTCACTCTCTACTCCGCCTGCATTCACAACACACTCATTCAATTCTCTATTCTCCACATCAGATTTCACCCCAACACCGTTCCCATTAGCATCAAACACAAAACCCATATTACCAAGCTCCGTAGGCTCCGCTTTCAAACCCAAAGCTGGCTCCTTTTCTCTCCACCGCCCCACATTTCCACCAAATCCTGTTTCTTTAGAATCTAATTCCACTCTAGAATTCAAACCCAGATCAAAATCCCCACCTTTTACACCCCCATTTGCGCCAAACACAAAACCCACATTGGACACACAACTATTCCCATCTAAATCATCACCTACTGACTTAAACGGGTTAAAATCCGACCCGGAACCGGACTCACCCCGACCCTCTCCTTTGTTCCTCCCATGTAACTGCTTCCTCACCTTCATCAGCCTCGGCCTCGCCCGTCCCGTCCCGGTATGTGACCCGTTTTTATTCATATCGATTTCGCTGGATTTACCATAAAACGTAGCATTTACAGTTTGGCGGTGGTTATTCTGAATTGGAGTGGGGTTAGAGTTTTGGAGAGAGGAAGGGTGTTTGGAGGTGACCGGTGACCTGATATCGACGGCCGCAGCCGATGACATTTGAGGCAATACAGAAGAGGAGATTTAGGTTTTAGTGAAATTGAAGATATTGTTTGGATTGTTGTGAGATTTTTGGTGTTAGGGTTTTTCTCCGTTTCGCAGGAAGCGACTAGCGAGAGAGAGGAGGGGAGAGTGAGGTTTAGACAGGTAAATTGTACCGTTCGTTGCTTACTCGTTGAATTTCAAAGTCTTGTGTTCACCCTTATTTAGCGAATAGATAATTAAATAAATATAGGAAAAATAGAGGGCGACTAGAGTTGGGGTGTGCTGCAGTAGCTTCTGCAATCGTAAAAAAATAAAAAAATATTGGGTTCTATATACAATTTTATTTTAAATATTAATTTTATAAAAATTAAAATAATATTTCTTATTAATAACAATCTGCCTTTCATCTATTTTTTATATAAAAATTCGTCTTACTTAAATATGTATTTTTTAAAATCTACTTTTTTAAAATATGGTTCAAAGGAGAAAATCATAAGAGGAATGATTATGTATTTTAATTTTACAAATATTGATTACTTTTTTTTTTCTAGTTTTTCAAATCAACTTATAAATTAACCCATCCAAGCTTTTGAGATCGGATCCACTCCTCGTCAGATTTTTCCGATCAATCCTATGGAAAAAAGGTGACGATAGCATGGGGTGGGCAAACAAGTGTCTGAGAATCCACGTCGAATGCTAGCCAAGAAGCTTTCCAACCAACACCAATGATGACACAAACTAGCAAAACGCCAAATGAATCCCGCACCGACACCGTCGCCACAAAGGTGGCAAAGCGAAAGCGAAAGCAAAAGCTGAACAGACTCCTACTTTCTTCTCTTCTCTTCTCTTCTCTCAGGTAAACACTAAACTCAATCAATCATCCTTTCTCCTTTCAAAACCCTACAACATTCAAATATCATAATCACCACACTCCTTTCCTTTCCTCTTCCTTCATTAAAAATATCCGAGAGCTGTAGTTTTTCTTGTGCTGATGTAGTGAATGCTAATGGTTTCTCGTGGTATTCTTATGATAAGTTGTTTTTTAATCATTACGTAATTTTTGCTGTCTTGATTTATTAATTAATGCGAAAGTAAAAATTCAAGTGTTTTAAATTCTTAATAGTAAGTAAGTAGGGATTAAAGTGAAATGAGAGACAGTTAGGAGTGATTATATTGCTCGTAGATTTACTGCTAAACCATTTTAGTGTAGTGCCAATGCAGCTGTAACTTTTTTGAGGAGGGAGGAAATCTCCTTGACTTGCTCTGCATCAATTTCTGTTACCAATTGATTGGCTTTCAAAAAATGTAGTCTTACTGATGTTGGGTGTTCTTTAGGAGCCAGGTTGCTGGTTGAATTGAGTGTTGTTAATGTACTTTAGAAACCATGATCTTCAAGCTTCAAGTGTTCTCAGACGACTTGTTTCTAACAATGAATTATCTGAATACGTTTTATCTGTCAAAGCTAACAGCATCTTTCTGTCTAAGAACTGATGCTTATTGATTTCTTGATCCAGTCATTGTTAAATTTGTCTCTGTGCTCGATGTTTCGTGGTAAAAATCATTTAGAATCCACAGTTTATAAACACGGAATCTTATAGCAGGTGCTGTTTCGATTAGCTTTTTTTACAGAGGATCTTATATTCACGAGAACCATCTGGGTTATGTTTTCATGCCCCATGGATCACATGTCGGTCAAGGTTTTACATGGTATGAACTTGTGTATCACTTCAAGTAAAAATTAACTTCTTCAATCAGGCGTCAGCTCTGCAGTTTTTTTGTGTAATTTATTTTTCATGCCTTGAGAGATCCTTCGCCAGTTTGGGCTTGTAGGCAGTCCTTTGAGTATTTCATGCAAGAAAATTATTTTTATTTTGATCTGCATAAAAAAGGGTCAGGGAATTGAATTTCATACTCGGAACAACTAAACTCACCAGAGAATTTAGTGGACCACTTCGAGCTGGTGCTATGCTCACCCTGCTGTTTGTAATGGCCCTTTGCCTCCTGAATCTTTTGGTAACTTGTGATAAAAGTGTTTATAATCATTTTTGACACTCGTCACCGTTATACTGAGTAAATGGATCCGAGGAGGTTGCTGTTGCAGAACCCAGACCTTTTGTATGAAATTCATTTGTAACAGTAGCATGCTTCCCATTGAGAGCAGATTAGCTATCTTAAATGTTGTGGGGAAGTAAAAAATCAACGATGTGCCATTAAATGTTAAAGAACAATATTATTACCACGAAATTAAGATTAGAACATGCACGCATAGTGCTGATTTTAAAGTACCTTTGAAGCGTTTTTACTCGCAATGATAGCTCACATTTTAGTAAAAAATATCAAATCAGACCGTAGTAGATCTCTATTATTTTGTAGATGGTCCTGATGACGACTTCCATAAATATATTTTTGTCTAATACATGTAGCTATGCAACGTCAAAATGAGTTAATCATTCTTTCTGTTTTCCTCTTTCAGCAATCTGAGTCGTATCTCATTCTCAGATAAGACTAGCTTCTTCCACAAAAGCATGCCTTCAAATTTAATGCAGATAGATTTGAAAAGTTTGAAGGAGCCTTCAAATTACAAGACAAGCTATACGTGTTGCTTACATGAACATGAATGCTTTGAGTTTAATAATGTTGTCTTCAGCCTTCTTCATGAGTCAAGCTCTGGAATGCTGGTTACTGGAATTGACTTGTCTAATCTAATTCTGGTAGTATAGATCCTGGAGCAGGTGTAACAAACAAACAAGTGCTGACATAAAATTTTTGGAGAGATTTCGTGACTTGGTTATCTTAGAGTCTTTGTTCTTATTTTCTTTCCTTTTCTTTCTTACATAGGTAAGCTTAGGGGTAACATCCTATACATAGCTGACACAATCAATAAGGATCGTGTTACTTCTATTTATCAGTGTGTTATGATTTTCCAACTTTTCCCATATAATTATTTTATTGCCCACAATAAGAAAATGAAGTGCTCAGATTTGTTAAGGTTTTCGAACTCCTTTAGAATTTTTCGTTTTTATTATACGTCCAGAACAACCATAGTCTTGAAATATGGCTGCTTGAGAGATTCTGTTTGTTACCTGAATACTGGAATCTCACCTTTACATATGGCCGAAGTTTATTACGAGGCCCAACTTAAATTTATCTTTTAATTGTGATATATATTTCAGTTTTCCGTCGTTCCATTCTTTTTTTTTTTGTTTTATGAAAATATATTTACATGCAAACGCTGGCTTTCCTACGTCAGTTTGTTTTCCTTTTCCAGGATGCCCCAGATACTGATGAAAACAGAACAGGTAACGATGCAGCTGAAACCAACTTTTCCAGGAATGTTGTGAAAGATATTCCAAGACCTGGTCCAAGTTCTCCAGGAGACAACACGAAATTAAAGTTAACGTGGTTGATTGGAAAGCGCAGGAACTTGTTTCTCCAGATGCTCCTTTAGAAGAGGACAGACCTGGGGAAGTAAAAATGGAGGCTTCCATAACACCAGATGATGTTATACGAGCTGGTGGCTTTGGAGCTAGAGATGATATAAGTAGCTTTCTTCCTGTTGCAAGTGATTCAACTGGCTTTGAAGCAACAATCCTTGATGCTAGAAACTATGAAGAGCCACAGGGAGAAATACAAAGACCAGGTCTTGGCTGGACAGAAGCGACAGAAAGGAAGCAGTTGTTTTGCCAGTCCTTGAGACCTGGTTGCCACGGACAACTTTTCTGGTGTTTCTGGCTTCTGATATTTTGTGGCATGTTCGTAACTTGTGACTCCGTGGTTTGAATTTATTAATTATTTATTTCATGTTTCTGTTTGCATGATTTTGTTATTCATGGAATACAGATAGATGCTTTCTCCTCGCTCAAAGAAATAAAAGAAAATAAGTGCATGATATGTTTAAAGATCATCATGAGCTAATGCTATAAACCCTCTTTACAGAATTGCCTACTTAAAATTTTCATTTTTATTAACAACTAAATGGCCTGCTGACTCTTACTCTCTATTATGCTGACGATTGCTGTGGCAACCCAACTTTCCATCAGACCTTATAATTGTAATTTACAGTTGTACGCATTATGGTCCATATTCTCCCGAGGAATCTTTTCCTGATATTCCTTATAAGTGGCCAGCATCATGAGAAAGCTATTTCCTTCTGAAGATTCTTTGGCCAGGAGCTAGGATTGCCATTGGGTCATAAGTTGATTTCCTATTTACAAAAACCTCCCATTGCGGGCCGAAATGAGCTTGCCATTCTTCCTGGGTGCTGTAATGAGGCATATATTGCTTGGCTCCAAGACCGGCTTTGGAACAGAAATCTAGAATTCTTTGGTTTTGGGCTAGAATGTGAAACAAGCCATCTCTTCCTGTGGAAGATGGCATTGCAGAGGATAAGAATGCCACTTGGTAGAAAGTGTCTTCATCTGGGGTGATTAAAGATGTCCTGTTGTTCCACCTGCAATGCGAAGGAAAAATCAGGTTAATAATATAATATTCGAAAATTGAGGGGAAATTAATAGTTTTGTTTCTCGTATGAGAGTACTTGGACTTGTTCACCGGATAGATAAGGATGGGACCATTGCTATTGCCTGTAAGAATATTGCCAAAGACCTGCTGAGCAAACTCAATAATTTTGGTTCTAGGGATTAAAAGATTTATCCATGGGTGAGGAATCTCCCATAAACCTTTTGACCTGAGGTTGATTTCAGACAGGTGGACTCTATCCAGGAATTCCACGTAAGAAACTTCTGACAGAAAGCGTGGGGATGAAATGTAGCTCAGTTCTGACAATAGGCTCTCAGTTTTCTGCATGAGAGAAAATAAGGTTAGGAACGCGGGCTTCGATTATGTAAAATCTATGTTGGGATCCTAAGAGGTGTTTTGCAGTGTCCTCTGTGCAAGTCTAACCTGGTTCGTTATATCGGACTCATCTGGGTTAAAGTATTTAGCAATTTCTAGACAGTAGAGAGTTTTTCCTTCTGAGATGAATCGACTGGCCTGAAGCGGGTCTCTTGGATTGAAGGAGGATCTCCAGTTATTGAGGAGACCGGTTCTGTTTATTATCACAAGCCCTTCGATATAGTCAAAAGAATCCTTGGATGATATTAAACGTTCTTGATCATTGGAAAATTTAGAGAATTCATCATATAGTACTCTGATCCATTTCACCTGTAAAAAGTGATAAATTACACAATAGATAAGAGTTCCTTGTGACATTATAGCAATGCATAGAGATTTTAAGAGTCTAATTCTTACCATCTTTGGTGCTGGTTCAAGAGAGATTCTCGCTCGAGTGATTATTCCAAACTGCCCAAGTCCTCCAAGAACACCATAAAAGAGTTCTGCATTCTGCTTCTCTGTACAGGTAACCACTTCTCCCTTGCCTGCACCCAGAGCATCAAGTTAGATTCAATTGTGCCTTATTTAACTTTAAATAATTGAATCATTGTTTCAAGTTAGCTAGTTATAGTTAGAACTTGCTGTGAATTTCATTGTTCTTTTAAGGTGCATTCTTTTCAAGATATTTTTCCCCAGGTTCAGTCTAATTGAAAAGCAAAGCTTCCAGCAACTTAGTGTGCCGTGGTAAAATTGTTCTTTCATGAAAATCGAAGTAATAAAATCACTGGAGCATCCTCCTTGTCATGCTGAAATGACTTTCTATCTGTACTGTGATATTGGGCCTGCCTAGCATGAAAATTTTTATATGACAGAATCATGCGTGAGTATACCTGTGACAACCTCCAACTGGTAAATGTTGTTAATTTGTGGCCCATGTTTGAATGCCTGTCCACTAATTCCGGCATTTGATAAGGTGCCTCCAACGGTGAGATGAAGGTAGTCTGTCCAAGATTTTGGTGCAAGCCCGTATTTAAGAGTCTCATGTAGAATATTAATCCACAAGTCACCACCTGATGCATCCACATACGGCAGCTCTCCCGTGTGAATTTGCATCTCTGGTCCCTGAAGGGATTCCATGTTTATGACTATACCTTGATGAGCTTGTGCTTGACCTTGAAGCGAGTGACTGTGGCCTCTAGCAGCAACTGTTAGCTTTGAAGTGGAACCCATTTTGAAAATATGCTTTATAGTGTTGGAAATATCAGAAACCGATTTCGGATGTAGTACTGCTAAAGGTAGGAAATGATATCGATTGCCAAAGTCCTTGGCTGCATAATCGATATGATCAAAGCTGAAGTAGCCATCTAGCTGAAGTGTTTCTAATGAAGAGATGTTGGAGGAGCTCTTATATGGAACAACACTTGGGTTGACAGAAGCTTGGGTGGAACAAAGGTTGGCTTTATCAGGTATGGAGCAAAAGAATAAGATCACGATAAACACAAGGAATATAAGGTTGTTCTGTTTGAGAGAGGCCGAAGGTGGTGATCCCATTTGTTCCGTGTTAGAAAGAGAAGGAAGGAGAGAAACTGTGCAAGTCGCTACTTGTGAGGAATAGCAAAAGGAGAGGTGCAGAAGAGCTTATGGAGATGGAAGATGGAGACGACAATTTAAAGGGAAGGTTTGGGCGGCACAGTCAAAATATTCAGTGGTGACTTCATATTAACTGTGTACGTAAATGTCGAAATGAATGGCTTTGATTGATAAATAATTATTAGTTTGGATGAAAATGAATTTGTTTATATCATTACTTGATTCAAATTAGATAAGGAATTATTCAAGTTTATTTTATAAGATTTAATGTGATTATTTATGTAACTATTTAGTTTGTTTGGATTATCTAGTTTGTTTGGATAAATTATATAAAAGTTCAAATAAGTTTTTTCAAAAAACATAATACAAGTTATTCAAAAATACTGTTAGAAAATTATTTTTATGAAGTATTTTAAAGGTACGTTAAGAACTTAAT